TATAGTTAATAGAAATACGAATGATATTTACAAAATATTGAAAAGAAAAATTATTCTAGGTGAAAATTAGTTGAAATCATATTTTTTTTTCAAAACGTCTACATGTAAGTCTAGTTTTTATTTTTTTCCTAATCCAATTCATTAATTGTAAAATCGATCTTGAAACTTTTTTTGAACATTTTAAAAGTTGTAATAACAAATTGGGATAAAAACATTGAAAATTGTAGAAGAAGAAAGGTATTTAAATTGTTAACATTTTCTTAAAAAATTTTAATTTAAAAATTTATCAGCATAAAGTTTTCTTAACTTCAAATTACTTTGCTTAATATAAACATTCATAAAAAACGGATAAAACTTTTTAAATAAAAAGAATAATTCAAAGTGTACCTAGTCCCCTTAACTTAATTTAAGTATATAATACAAAGGGGTACACTCTATTAAACCTTGACAAGAAGAAACGAGTCTTCTAAAAATTAAATTCAACAACCATGAAAGGGAAGCACAAAAATTCTACAACTATTTATACTTTAACTAATTCACTGGCTGCAGGGGCGTAGCTAGAGGGGGGCAAGAGGGGGCATCTGTCCCCGGGCGCAGAATCCAAGGGGCGCCAAACTAATGTTACGACATTTTAGAATTAAATGTTTTCCATCCTTGGCAAGCAGAAGGGGGCGCGAAATCTTCAGTTGTCCCTGGGCGCTGAAAACCCTAACTACGACTCTGACTGGCTGTGCAATTAATTATATTTTACGTTAAACATAGACATCTATATCGATTTCATTGAAAGTATATTTCCCGAAATGAAAGCGAATATGCGACTGAGACAAGCATTTAAGAAAACCCAAACTTGAAATTGAGCGACATATTTTTATCAAAAATTTTGTGTTTTATATTAACTAAAAAATAGTGGATCTGCATTAATTTTTATCTTTCTATAAGATTTCTCTTTAAATGTTTAACTAACACTTTAATTTATTTTTTACTCTAGAGCTTAAATTCTAATGAAAGATTACTAAAATGAAGAATGAACTTTAGCATAAAACTCGTGAGACGTGAGTTATTGTACGTGAGTTTAAGTTCACATGAAATATTGTTAGAACCATTTTTGTTATTAATAAATTTGTTATTAGTTGAAACAAAAAATACTAGAAAGCCCGGCGGTCATGCGAAATGACCGCTCTTCTAGATATTATAAATTGTAATTAAAATTATTTGTGCAAAGGTTTCTGCTAATCTAAACTGAATTACCCAAGGCAGGTGGCGAGGACGCCCCTTTGCTTACTGCCCCACGGGGTTTCCCCCTTGTACTTGCTTAATTTCTTAAAGTAGAATGCGAATGAAGAAACCACTTGGCGGTACATTTCTTAAGAGCCATCGCTAGCTCAATAAATACAAGGTGATTTGAAATAATGAAAATGTTAATTCACATGTCCAAAGATCTCTTCATTCACAATATTTCTTGTGTAGATCTTTCCGTCATTTTTAAGTTCGCCTTGCAGAGCACCATCCATTGTTTTTAATTTTACGTCCGTTCTTTCACGAGCTCTTGAACAGGCAACATAAAGTTGACCGTGTCCAAATGCAGGCTCAGGTAAAAAAAATGTCAACACGCTTAAGACTTATTGACACCCGGAGACTGGATGGTCATAGCAAAGGCAAGTTTTACAGGAAATTGTCTACGTCTCAAATGAAACGGCAATCCTGTGCCGTGGCAACTTCACCCCATTGGCTATTTCAGTTACGCAAGCAACCAATAAACTATCGACAAACAGACACTTAAGCCGCATATATATATATATATATGGGGTGAAGTAACACCATCTTCTCCGAAACGGCTGGCTCCCAGGCTTAGCGAAGCACACTGTTGGATTCTACAGGTCCGTGGCACGCCATTTTGACCATTCGCGTCTTCGTGGGACTTTAATTAGCCGAGATATTAATGAAAAACTAATTTTCCCCTACGTTTTCCCTACATTTTCCACTTTCTTTCTTGGATTTTCCCTATTAGAGGGACTTGGCTACGTACCAAAGTCTTTTTTTCTCGACGGAACGGCGCCGATTTGAAATTCGAGACGCGTATCCTCGGATTCCAAAAAATTATCCGAATCCATCGATACCGTTTTCATCTTCGTACGGCTTTAATTGGCCGAGATGTTAATTAAAAACTGAGGAAACGTTAATTTCCGCGCTCATTTTTCCGAGTGGCAACAATAAACTATCGACGACAAACACTTAAGCCGCTTATATATATATAAAGATTTATCAACTGAAAAGATTAAAAACATTGAACCGAATTATCTTTTTAGTTACCCACATTAACTATCGATCTTCACATGTCCGTTTTTAAGTTTTCTAAACTATGCAAAAATTTCAACATCGTCGTTTCTGTTAAGGAGTGACTGGAAACTTGTTATTGCAAAACTTGGTAAATCTCAACTATTAGTTGTAGCAGAAGATGCATTTGGGTATTCAAGGATTTTGCCTAATTAAGTACAGTTTATCCTTGAAAAACGCCAAGGAAAAATGACATCATTCTACACTATTATAAATCCGCATGTAATTTTTAACATTTCAAAAAACTTAACTACTGATATCCTATTGCTGCGTTAAAAATTAGGTTTGTTATTATTTAGATTATTACAAAGCACTTAAGGGCTATCTTCAGAAAGGAAGGAATTCATTCGTGGTCAATTTTTAGTAGAGAATGTTTATTACTCACATTACACATGCGGAAACCACGAACACATCCATGTATCAAACCTGTTGTAGCCAGCCGGAAGAGGCTATCCATGTACGACACATTTCTGATCCTGACCCTTATATATAGCATAAACAGACGATTAACACATTTTTTGTAAATTACAATGATCCCGAGAGCCTTGCTATGATAAGCTATTAATCACACTATCATTTCTTCTTAGCAATCTAGCAATTTCTTCTCCTTAGCAATCATTTTTTAAAGAAGAAAATAATTAGCAGAAAAGCCACTCTAGGTTTGGGCATTTTTCATTAAGTTCCTTTTGTCATAACGCATTTAAAGATCCAGTAGCCTGGATAACTGGATAGCTATTGTTATACAAAGCTTAATAATAAGCCAGCTTCCTTCCTTGTGACTTTATAGACATTTGATATGAGGAAACAATAAGAAGTTCTGCTCCTAGGATTTCTCCTTGGAGACTTTGCTGTACTTACGGTTATCAATGTTACGCTTAAGAGTCTAGCAGAAGGCCTAGGCTCTGAAGGTACACAACTCATGAATAAAAGGTACACAACTCATGAATAATAAAGGTACACAACTCATTACTTTACTGTGCGAACTAACGCGGTGAGCAGAAATTTAAGCAAGGTAGTTTTTCATTCATCATCGTCATCATCCGCGGAAGGAGCTGCTGGAATCGCTGACGATTCAGTTTGTTTTCGTGACAAGTTACTGAAGGATTAAAGTTCCCACAAAATGAGATTTAATCCTTCAGGCAAGATCAGAATTGCTTGCTGTCTTGCCATTAGAGTGTCGTAAATCTGGCAAGTGAGGAAGATGAAGATTCTTTTGCGTCGCTGAAATCTCCAATCGTTAACAGTCATCATCTCTAGGCCTCGCGCTTAAGGCCAAAACGTAAACGTGTGGTAATGAAGGTTCGAACTTGTACATCTCGATAAATATCATCAAGTAGATCAGTTACAAATTTCTTGAGAGAGTAGTCATTCTATAGTACGTCGTATTTAAAATTGTCATTTAAGTCTCAACTACTGCCTTTGAAAACATTTCTTATTCTGTTCATGATGTAACATCTAATACCTATTAGATGTTACATCATTTCTAATGTTCTGATTAAGGAGTTTAATCAGAACTACTTTTAAGTAGTTAATTAAACCGTCTCCTCCTCACAACACAGCTGAGCCTGTTGGACAATGTCTGGTGGAAATCCTGGTTGGTGTGGATAGCCATTTAAATGATAAGTTGCAATTGAAAGTTTACTGTGCGTTACTAGATGCCTCCTAATTTAAACTGCATTGTGAATTTCTCGAGATATAAATTTTATCCTGCAACTAATGTCCAGTCTTGTATACTGCTATCAGTAATCTGATTTATATTAAGACCTCAAGTACAGACTTATTAATTCTAATTTGAATTTTATTGTGTTCTTGTGTGCAACAACTTTGATATTTCACTCTCTTCACGAAAACTTGTCTACAGGATTTATTGGCATTTAAGTCGAACTTACATATAGCTTAGATGTAAGGTTACAACCAAACACTTCCCATAATTTTGCTTCGTAAACGGTCCTACAGGTCTTGCTGAAAGTAGGAAAACGTGTAGATTTCTAATAGTGCTTTATCTAAAACTGAGAAAATTTCTTCCAACAGAGAATGGAAAAAATATAACTAAGCTTTGAAAACAGCTGCGTGGTTTATACTTTTATTCAGTCACTATTTAAATTTTGCTAGTATTTAAAAACTTTGCATTTTAAGATCTTTGATTGATCCGAGTGGTGTTTAAATTCCTCTCTTTCGGTCTATTCTGTAGAATGACATCATTTATTTTCAAATTTATCTAACTTGCGACACAAGAATATTTAGTTATTAAAATTATTCTTCACTAATATTCTTTTCACCAATAATAAATCATCGCCAGTTAAGAGATAAAAACGAGTGAGAAATTATAAATGACGAAATTGCATAACAGGAATTCAAAGAAAAGTCCGGTTCTGTACAATGAATCTCGAATTTTGCCAAACGATTTCTTTCACGTTTCAGGAAAATATTTTACATTATTTATTCTGACGTTTGTATGCGTTCTTATTTCATTATTCCCAGAAAACACGTTAGAAGATATTTTACAACGTTTGCTCGTCCATGTGGCCCTGTTGTCTTAGTAACTTAAGGTACTAAATTCAGTGTTTTAAAAGCAAATCCTGAAAAGAAGATTTAATCGATTAGCCTTTTCTCATACAGCAGGTTGTTGTTGGTTACTGTATATATACTATCTCCGGACTTGTCACGAAACGCATCGAGTTGTTGTTTGCTGACACTTAGCAACTGATACGTGTTTGCAGTTATCTGTGAAGGAATTCTAAGCTAAAGCTATGTTTATATCCTCATGAGAATTTGAAAGTTAACGCAGTTTAGATGAAGTCGACAAAAGGTGAGTCTTCATCCTTGACATTCTTATAACGGTCAATAGCAACTGAATAATTAGGTTCTCTGCGACAACAGAAGACAGAAGTTCGTAAGTCATCATCAAGTATGATATTGGCTGTAATAATATTCATAGTTTACTTAAAATTGAAATGAATCTAATTAAAAACCGATTAGAACGCAGATTTTGAGAACTAGTAACAATTGTGGTAACTTCTGTAATCTGCCTTTGAAGATCTGTTGTAACAGTAGCAATTTTTACTTTTTTTAAGCATGTGAGAAATATATTTTTCAACCAACAGCATAATTTTAAAGCGTAGTTTGGATTTAAATTTAGTGCTGAAAATGTACATTAGTGAAATTTAATTTAAATGTGCTCAAATATAAGTAATACTGATTTTTCTCATTTTAAATTCAAATCCTAAGAAATATATTTATAGAATATAAAGATTTTAAAATGATTAATACAGTTAATTTATTTGGATTCGATTGTTATATTTCAAGCAAAACACATTAATAAAAAATAAAATATAACAATACAAACACATATAATTGTATCCACATATTGTATAAACACATATAATTATATTTTATTTTTTCAAATATTAAAGAAGTAAATTTGGTGCTAAATTTTTTATTGCTGCATTTTATTTGAAATATTTAGAAATATTTATTTCAAAATATTTCTAACTTAGTTTTATCAGAGTATTAAAAAATATTTATAACTTATTTATCTAAATATTTAAGATTTAAAGCTGATAAATATATCTTAATTCATTCCCTAAAAAATATTTATAACTTATTTATCTAAATATTTAGGATTTAAAACTGATAAATATATCTTAATTCATTCCCCTGATTGAAAACCATCTTTATCAGATATACTAGCTTACTATTTATTCAATATTTATGTTTGGAACATTTCTAAGACATTCTAATCTAAGTAAAAGGGTTTAAGAACCATTCATTTACTAAAATACAAGCCATATAAATCTGATAAATATATTTTTACTTATTAGCAACATATATAATATTCTATTATTTTTTTAATATTTGTTTTCATAGTAGTTCTAAAATATCTTAATCTGAAATATATGCTAATGTTATAAACTTTTACGTTTTAAAAACATAAAGAAACTTCTAAATTTATAAATTATCCATTTTTTTTTCATGACATTTTAGCCGTTATTTATTGAATACACTACTTTCTTACTTCTCAGATACATTTTAAAAATATTTCGAAAGCGCTGTAATGTAAAAAAATGCATAGATACTTTATCATAACGATTTATTTGACACTAAATTAAATGCATTTAATATTCGTACACTTGATAATAATTTTCTTTTTTACTTTTTAAAAAATATGATTTATTTATAGCTACATAAATAATAGCAAAAATGTATCTGTTTTTTTCGGTGGCTTGGCAAATGCGGTCAAGAGCAGGAGACTGACGTTAATTACATAAGGGGAAAGTAAACGACTGTGTCAGGGACCATAAGGGGAGATATATTTAAAAAAAAGTGTTTTTAGGTCTCATTCAGTATCAGTATATCAGAAATAAATAATGCATCAGAATGGAGACAAATTACATAAGATACGAAAAGTTATATTTATTTCTTTATTAACATTTCATTATTACATTGTTTTCGTTCAGGAATTTCCTTCCACCCCCCCCTGAGCAATACATACAGGTACATGTAAGTCTACTGAAAGCACTGCTATAAACAAATAATCCAACCCAATTCCAGTTGAACAGCGCTTATTAATACTAATTGTTTACGGAAAGCATCCTAGTTTTGGAAAAGCTTCGTATCATCTAATATAAAATTAATTAATTAATCATCTTAAGAATGATTTTGTGTTGAATATGGCAAAACATATGAGGGTTGGCTAGGCATGATTTCATGGAGAATTTTCTAAGGAAATGGGCTCATATTTACATACTTTAAGGAAATCCACGAAAATGCTTACACAAAGTGGTACGTTGCAGTAGGGTTCCTTCAATCCATCTGTTAAATTTGCATCTAATTGTCAAGTGCTCCCATCTGTTAAATTTGCATATAATTGTCAAGTGCTCAATTTTTTTGGATAGTTTATACATTCAAAGGAAAATACAAGTTACTCACTGAACTTCGCACGTTAGTCTGAATAACCTTTAAACCCGATGAACAGTATATTTCTATGACAAGGCGAGCTTTCTGACTGTACAATCTGTTTTACATTTAGCGAGCTTGTGCCGAATAAGTTTATTCGCTATTTTACGTAATTTCTGCTGCAATATTTTGTAATTTTTTTATTTTTTTTTTTTTTTTAAATTTTATTTTTTTAAAGATAATTTCTTTTTATTCACAAATATTTATATTTTCTATTTTTCTAATAAGTGAAACATTTAATTAGATTCTGATATTTTGTTTTCATAAGATAAAGTACGAAACCTTTGTTAAAATTTTCATTGCTCACTGTAGTTCAGTGACCGTATTTTAATGTGCTATTTTATTCGCGAGTCCATTCATCCGATTTGAAACTTGGAAATGAATTAACAAATCGATCTTTCCATTCAATTGGTCCTATCGACTTGAATGCAGTGAGCCTGAGTAAACGTGAAGTATCTTTCGTAAATATAAAAACCTTATAAGCGCATTTATAAATAATAATCTTAAAATATAATTTTGACAGCTGTTTGACGCTGCTTTCAAAAGATTTCTTAATTATAACTATAAATATATATACTGAAAATTGCGAAGAGAATAACACATACGTATCTGTTATTACGAGAATAAGTATTTCTAATGTATGCAATAGGGCAATTTATTTACTGTATCCATTTATTACTTATTGTAATGGATTGGAATATTTGAATATGAATTAGCTGAATATTTAAGAAAAATATTATGACTGCGAGAATAAGAAAAAAAAAATTTTTTTTTGAATATTTACTTTTTTATAGAATGCAGATGAATTCATTTTTACTCAACGAAAATAAAAATTTAGTAGCAAATTAATCTGTCTTGTATCGAGCACTTTAGTTCAGTGATCCGTATTAATGTGCGCTTTTTTTTAAAAAATTTAAATGCTTCAAGAATAATTAGAAAAGGGCATAATTCCCTTCTTACCCTTAAATTCTTCAATAAAAAAACTGCATTTTCAGCTATAACCAAGTGAAATAATTTTCTAAATATAATTCAAAGCATGAAAAATAAGGTACATAAACAGCTTGGAAATGGAACTAGCATTGAGATTCTCTTTAAAAAATATGGTGAAGCTTAACAAAAAGTCTACGAAGTGAAGTAATTCCGTAGAATATTTTCTAACTCTTTATGATTAAATTGCACTCAATTATACTTTATAAACGACATGTAAATACTATTTAACGTATATGTGTGGATGTGTGTGGCTCACTAGCGGCTGAGCTGTAAAATCGTTGAACGCTGGCAGGTCGATCCGGACTTCGAATCCGGATCGACGGGGATGGCTTTATTGGCGTTTTCGAGGTTTTCCCCACGTGTAACGTGCATAAGAGTCAGTTTTGCTTAGAAAGTTCTCCACGAGGCACTCTTACCCTTAGGCAAATAACCGTCGAATGCTTTGCTTTAATCAAACAAACCAGACCAAACAATAGATATATAAATAAGTAGCTTAAAAACTGCTATATTTTATGTATACTTATCAAGTAGTATTTCAATATATATAATGATTAAAAGAAAGGGAAAGTCGGATCCTAACTGATTGTATATAATGTAATCCCTATGAAGGCCCTAACAATTCTTTCTCACTTAAAGTCGTAACCCAGAAAGAGAACAAATTAAACTTCAGATACGTATACAATACTGAATCTAATACAAAAAATACAAAATATAAAAATAAATTATATATGTACGAAACCTAACTAACTATTTATATTGATATTACGTAATTATACGTATGGTAATGAACATTGTACACTGGTGTGCAAAAATTAAGGACGAGACAGTTTTTTCAATATAACTTTGTACAAAAGCTTACCAATTCAACACATTTAATACCGTAAAATCCCCAATACGTAAGACAATGAATAATGTAAGCAACACTTACTAAAAGAGAAATCAGAGGGATAAAAAAAGAAGCTTTATTGAAAAAGTAGCATGGAGCGCAATGCGACTGAAGGCCGAAACATCCCTGTGATGGCTGTGATGGGTGTCCAGCAAGAAACATCCGGTCTTTAATAGGAGATATGATCTCCCCTGACTGGCTAGGCAGGTTTCACAGCGTCTGCCCATGCTGAGAATGAGGGTGTCAATGAGTTGTTGAGGCACTGCTGCCCATTCGTCTTGCAGCGCCAATTGAAGCTCCGGAATCGTTACTGGTGGTAAGGCACGAGCTGCCAAGCGTCTGCCTAGAAAATCACATACATGCTCGATGGGATTGAGATCCGGAGATCGTGCTAGCCAATCCATACGTTCAATATCCTCACTCTCTAAGAGCTGTTCGCAGCTACTGTGCAATGACATGGTGCATTGTCGTCCATGAAAAGGAACTGCGGACCCATAGCGCCTCTAAAATGACGCACATATGGAAGAAGAATCTCGTTACAATAACGGGTCCCGTTGACTGAACCTGCGTCGAAGATGTGAAGGTCTGTACGACTACTAAGCATGATGCCTCCCCAAACGAGAACACCGCCACCTCCATACCTGTCCCTTTCAATGATGTTCGAGGGATGATTATGGCTTCCCTGCTCTCTCCAGATTAGTATGCGATGAGAATCGCTACTCAGACTGAATCTGCTCTCATATGTAAAGAGTACTCGTTCCCATTCATTGTCCAATTCCGGTGTTCCCGGCACCACAGAGAACGCCTTCTCCGATGGGCAGGCGTTAGAAGTACACACCGTACAGGCGTCGTGCAAACAGACCACCACCGTGCAGTCTTCTGGCCACGGTAAAACGCGATATCGGTCGTCCAGTCACCTGTGTCGTGTGTTTAGCGATTGCTCCCGCTGTCTGCCGCCTGTTTCTTCTGGCCTGTAA